TAGTGTTGTAATCCAGTACCAAAATCTGTACCTTCTACAAGTACACATTTATAATGCAATTCATCTTCTCTGAAATAATTCATGAATATTATCGCCAATAAATATGCGTTAATAATTAATAATACTTAATGTTCATTGATTATATATTTATTGATATAGGTAACATCATGATATGAGTGATTGATAAGTAATGTTGTAAGGTTTTAAGCCATTTGGGCATTAACCGAGAAAATTACTTTATTCATAATTAAATAGGCCCATGAACTAATAATATATATATATACATTATAACAATCGAATAATTTTCATACTCGCTCGTATATACCCCATAATTGATTTTATCGTCATTTGTATTATTCATATGCCATTCAATTTATATAGACGTGACATAGTGTTTACGTTTGCATAGGTTTATTTTATATAGTTCTATATTTTATAAATACACGCAATTGTATTGAATAATTTATTCAAACTTTTTCGGTACGATTACATTGATTGTATTCGATAAATATTTTCAAACATTTTCGTTAGCATACATTTTAAGGGTTCTTACAGCTTTGAGTTCGTAGATTTATTAATTATTAATTGTTTTTTAGTTTTCACTGGTGTTAAGTTCGATTTAAAATTGACAGGATGGTTAAATCATTCGCGTTGTTCTATCTATTATTATGTTTAGTTTTATTGTACGGCAGATTCATTATGTTCAAATAATTTTTTTTTAATTTCATCTAATATCGTGCACGGACACCGACATGGGAAATGTTTAGTTATCTTTCACGCTGTATAATGTTTTTAAATTGATCGTGCGACAAGTATGGAAAATGGAAAAGAAGAAAAATCACGAAAATTATTGTACGCGTCGTCGGTGGAAACGGCGATGGGAAAAAATTACGAGAAAAAAAAAAAAAAAAAAAAAAAGGCAAATTCACCAAAATCGATACACATAACATTGTATAGTCGCGGTGGTAGCCGGTGGGAGGGGCACGAAACGGGTATCGCCAGGGCGGTATCTCTGGGAGTTTAATAGTTGTTCGCTTACGGCGCGCCGGTATCGTTATAATAACATCATCTTTACGTTTTATTATTTAATGTATTGATGCAATAATCGTTTTTGGCGGGCACTACCCTCCCCGAGCGCGCCCTCGCCGTGAACGTGTCTTTCGGCGCACAAAGACCGACGGACGATTTACACGGTACATTCCTGTACACGTGCACGCACATATATATATATATGTATATGTATATTACGTATACTTTTGCGTTTAGATATACGTATACACGCATATAGTCGGGTGCGATACGGTCGATTAAAATGGTGTGGGACGCGAAAACTACGTTTCTTTTTTTTCTCTCTCTCTTCCCTCACCCGTCGTTCACGGCGGGGTGCCGCAACAACCCCATATGTGATATTACACATTCATTGCGCGACAGAGCCGACGACCACTTACACCGCCGTAGACGTGTACGTATCGCGGTGCAATATTCTCCGCGCGAGACGTCCGCGCGACCGTCTTAATAACGACGAACACGTGTTTTCGGCGCGCATAGGTGAAAACCGACGTCGCGCGTTACATATAAATTCGTTCGTACCGTGTACACGTGTCTCCTCTGCGCGTATGTATAATATGTGTGCCGCGTGTTCTCGACGATTCGAAATTATCGACGTGCGAGAGAAAATAATTCATCGGTTCCGTTCGGAAATTATTGCCCCCGTAACACTCCGCCGTGCAATATATACGATCCGGCGGATCGAATTTTATTTTATTATTATTTTTTTTTTTTTTTTATTCTTCTCTCGAAATCCGAATTATTCAGAACCCACCGCGCGCATATCACGTACCGCGCACAACACGTGCACGTAGGAAATAATGTGTGGAAATTATCGCGCAACACATCGCGCGTGGGGGAAAGGAAACGCGGCGGCGGCGGCGGCGGCGACGGGTCGTCGTCAAGTTCGTTCAGCATTGCGACGCGAAATCGATTTACGGACATGCCGAAAATAATAATTACTTGTTTCGAACCAGATTACTTCGCGTGCACGTGGCATATGTTTGTATCACACGAGAAAGTTATGCAATAGGACTCCCTCGGTCCGCTACCGGCCACCAAGTCGTTCGTAAACCCAATAGTACGTACACGTGTATACGTGTGTAACGCATACGCGCATTGTATACACTATCGAGTCAAACGGACGGCGCACCTTTTACTTCGAAACAACTTCATCGCTTTAAAAACGGAAACATTGTTTCCCGAACAGAACACGCCCCGACTAAGAAATTACTTTGATGACTTTTGAATTCATACGTGTGCGCCCCATCCCCACGTGGTACGCGTATGTAGATTTATCACGTGAACAGTGCGTGTATGTAATGCGGGGGTAACGACATCAGAATTTTATTACGTTAAGTGACGTAAATTGACTCTGTCCAAGAATTGCATCGTTATATACCTATAAGTACGTATATTACTTTTTCGTATATATATATATATATATATGTAAGTGTATTTACCCGTGCTACGTGTGGATTTGAGCGCCTAAAGTGGAATTTTTGATACTTAAGTATATGAAACGTGTCTCATGTACAACGCGAGAGTAAGATCGCCACTAGAGAATACAAATTCGTTTTATGTAAATTACGTTTCTTTCTTTTTCTTTTCTTTCGGTACGCGCACCAATTTAGATAATGGTTGTGCATAAACAAATTTTGAGACATTATTACTCTTAAAATGCCGAGTTCTTCGTCAGGTTAGCAAAAATATATACAACTACGTTTTTTTTTTCCGCCGTCAGATTTTGCTTCTCGTGTTTCTCGTGCTGTACAGTAGTGTACACTATATTTATCCGTCGGTATTTTCTTGTAATTCATTTTTATATTCATGGCTATTTTTTCACAAATTTATTGCGGTCGTGCAACGTCCCTTGTACATACACTGCAATACTTCAATACATGTAATACGCATAGGTAAAAGGTATATCGTGTATATAAAAGAAGATCGTTTTATTTCTGTTCTACGCCTGACTTAACTTGCAATGTTTAAAACAAATGACAGTAATAACGTTAATATAATCGTAATTAAAAAATATAACAATATTAGGGAATCCAGAGAATCGTTATGCGAACAAATTCAGAACTTTTTAATGAGTTTTTCCCCTTTAGTCGAGAAGACGCTAATAGGCGCAAATATATTGTTTTTATTTTTATTTTAGCAAAAGTTAGTTGAGTTTTATTACGAAATATTTTAGAAAAAAATGGTAAAAAAACTAATGCGATCATGATTTATTTATATCGTTTTCAGTTATAAAAAAAAAAAAATTATAGCAATATTCTTAAGAAGAAACAAAAAACTGAGTTTTAATTAAAAAAAAAAAAAATTATAATAATTATAACTACCGCATGTAGCTATGATTGACGACATATGAAATTGTTCATTAATTCACTTGGAATACAAATATCGCTAAGCGATTGGACTAGTATGTCATCATACACTTGTAATATGTATAACTAGGGGATAGAGAGAGAGATATATATAGTACATAAATGTGCAGCAGACAAAAAATAAGGTCAGTTATTAACCGGAGAGAACGAGAAAATGACGCGGATCAAAGTTCACGACACGAGGCCTGAACGAGTATTAATACCAATTGGACGTTATACATTTGACCTATACACACGCGTGCACGACGGATTTACAATACACACGATACGACACGCGGCCGGGCGGTCTAGAAGCGAAATCCTTCTTTCTTTCATATAAAAGAAAATCAAACGGACGAAATAAATGAAAAATAAAAAATGCTCGTTGGCATCCGAAAAAAATCATCACGAAAGATAAAATGGGTTCAATAATAATAATTTTATATACACACACAGTTTTTCGAAATGTAAAACAAATGAACGAAATATTGTTACGTCAGTGGTGTTACGAACTCGAATTATCCCATAGGCAACGCGTAGATATCGCAGTATATACAAATGGTAAACGCATAAAACAATACAAAACCACATCACGAACGCCCTGATTTTGAAATGAAACAAATAACTTCCACGTCACCCACCGGTTTTCACGATGCCACTAATTTTAATTTACATAATGTTCAATAGACACGAATGCATAGGTACCTACAATACGAGACGGTAAGACTGTAAGTTATTTATTTACGATTCTAAACTACATTCTCGATGTGTAAAATATTTTAAATATTTAAATGACAAATATTTCCAAGTTACTCGTATTTTGATGGTTTAGCAAATTGTATTCATTCCAGAACGCGCATTAAAAATAATTTATGTAAAAACGTCTCGAGTCACTCAGGTGGTTTTTTTCCGCTTCACACGCAGTATATTATATAAACAGGATGAATTTTTTTTTTAACAGACAACACTCATTATTTTTTATTTTTTAAAAAATTCTTCTTATATAAGTATGAAATCATTTATAAGTAACATTTTTGGCTATTTTTTTTGGCCGTGAATATATTTTTTAGTTATATTTGCGTACGCTAAACGAATGTACTCAATTTCAATTTAATGTTCTGAAATAGAATACTTCGTAAAATGTCCTATGCACAAAATTTAAATTTCAAAAAAAGTAGTTCATTCAATTACAAAAGATTGAGATGAAATAGTCGTATAGTTCTAAAATCTCGTGGGAAAATCTTCTCTGCTTACACGAACGCTCGTTTTTATTATGAATTACTGTTTCGATATTGGATTTTATGTATGATTCTCGGTTTTTTTAAAAATGTTCTGTCCCAGAACATGAAATTACAAAACAAAAGCTACCTTTAATGAAAAAAAAGTTAAAGGGCTTAAATAAGTCTCACGACAAGTTACGCAATAGAATTACTCGAAGTCGTGAAAAAACGGCTTTATCGACAGTATTTAAATCGGATGGGGGCGTAGATCGTTACGAGTAAAAAAGATCAACCCGTACGCGTAGAACATTACAACAATCGTAACAAAACTCGTCGCAGGTCGTACTGCGGTGCGCACACTCACTTGTTGGTCGGCGTGAAACGATCTGCGCGGAGTCCAGCGCGCCGGCGCCCACGGGCGTTCCTTGGTCTCGGGCCACGGCAGTTCCAACAGCGTCACCGGTTGCGCGGCGTCCGCCCGTGGCCAGCACGCGTACGCCCGGTTCCGCCACACGGCCACGTCGGTCAGCCGAGCCGGGACGGACGTGCCGTACAGCCTCGTGATGTTCCACGCGGACACGGTGGCCGCGGAACACCACCAGAGCGCCGCGGCCACGGCCAACGGCAACGCGACAACGGGCTGCATGTTACGGGCGGATAAGGCGGTACGGCACTGTTTCGCGTTGTTGCGAGTACGCGGGCGCGCGATGCACTACCGTGTTAGTTGCAGCGACGAATAATTGTTGTTGTTGTTGTTGTTTTTTTGTGGTTCTTACATTGTTTTTGGAACCGTAATGTACACGCTTTTCTGCTTACGAGGTAGAATTCGCCTTCGGACGTACCGCGCTCCGGCGCATGACGCACATCCCATTATCGTCATGCACATCGAAACGCATGCACGATTATTTAAGCGCGAAAAAATACATCACGCTTAGGTCAGGCGTGTTACCATTATCGTTGGGTAGGAGGTCATGTGACGGGGAGCACCCGCGGAGGGACCGTTTACTTGTGGAGGGAACGGACTAAAAACAAACCCTTGGACTCGCCCGGCGGCGACAAAATCGTCCTGGTTAGCAGGTAGTTACAGGACGCTTATCTTTTAAAGCCTACGTACGAATTGCCCGTAGCCGTGTTAAAAACATTTAAAAAATTACATAGATTTTAATTCTACTAATCCTTGCGAAATTACAAACCGAGTAAATTATGTACACTAACTTTAAACTGTAATGCGATTTTGGACAACGTTATAACATGGCAGTCAGTTGAAAAGAAATCTATCGATATTGCGATGCTCTCGAACACGAGTAGGTACACTAACGTTATTGTTCATATATAACAGTACAAATCCCTATAGTATGTACCGATATGAATCCCAATATTCACCGTGCTGAATGCTGTTGTATGCAATAGCGTGTTTAAGGGAGCTCGCCGAAATTACATTGTGCCGGAGTTCCGAATAGAGTAATACTCGTGTTGTGGAACCACTATGGAAATGGGAAAGGACGATTGTATCAATCGAACTGAACGCCCCTGGTAATCGACTGCACCATGTGGTGCAAACCTAAATTCGCCACTAAAGTGTAATTCAATTTTAAACTAAAAGCTTCTCTTTCACTAACTGTTAGAATAGTTCTCTTCGATAATTAATTGCAGTTAAACATTGAAATTTTTCTATGATAAATTTCACCTGATAAAAGATAGGTGCTTTCTCTGGTGAATGTAAAATTCCATAATATTATATTATAATAAAACTAGTTACGATCGAACTAAATGATTTTGTTTGGTAAAATCGTAGCATAATGATGTTTTATCGATTTCATGAATTTCGTCGCATTAATACGTTATTAATTAAATTAATACATTAAAGTTAACTTGTATGAAAACATGACTATCTTTAACTAGTAATTTCGCATAATAAGAATTGTATTTAAATCATAACTTACTAGAACTACTTAATACTAAAATGTACAAAATATATGCTCTTCGTTTTAATCCATTACCCTACTATTTATTTATTGAATGAGGATAATCCATAACAATCTACCGTAAAATACATTATAAGAAGAGACTGACACCACTGCCGCCGCCGCCAATTAATAACAGCCCATGGCGATTTAGATAATGATCTCCCCTCCTTCTACTTAGGAAAGGGATGAACGTGAGTGAATAGAAGAGGCGGTCGATACACACACATATACCTACACACACACACACACAAACACTACTTTACCCAGAACGACTACTACCATAAATATACACTATGTACCTGCTCCCTCTATAGCCCGCTAAAAAGGGATCCGTCTTATGCTTGCCCACCCACCTAACTTATATATGTATATATATAGTGCCCCCAGTAAGAGTTCCACGAGAGGGTTATTGTAGCGTACACACACACATAGCTATAGTACACGACAACAATACGCGTGGGAGCCGTCCGTCCGACTCCTACAGGATACGGCGGCAGCGGCGGCAAACAATGGCCTTGGCTCTTATGCCGTTTTTGGGAAATCCTTCGGGATAATGCGATACGACCACACTGGCGTACGACATATAAGGAACGCGCGCTCGCCACCGTAGACGAACGTCGGCAAATTTATCGTCAGACTGCGACCGAGAGTTTCGCCGTTGCATCCGCCGCCAAGTCGTTTATATAGTGCACGTCATCGTATAAGCCTTTATCGCGAATAAATTTCACGGCCAAAACTCGGCGGCGAGAAAGTTTTCTCTCCTGCGTTTCTTCGTCCTCTCCGTTTTCTTATTCCATATTTTTTTTTTTTTTATAATTTATTGTGGTATAATACGTTTGTACGTATACAAGACAACGCGGGTGGCCCTATAGATTATACGAACGTAATAGATTTTTAAATAAGACCCAAACTATCGAAAATAAATTATTATCGTTTAGAACTTTTGAAACTCGACGAATATATTATTATGCCACTAACCCTCTCTTTTTCCATTTTGTTTCACCACGGCCGCAGCCAAAGGTTGATAAATATAAAATCATCGTGAGAACAATAAAACGAGTTTATATATATGTATATATCATAATAAATATGAACGCTTCTCTATATATGTATATACTTCGATGCCCATTGTTAAGTTCAGTATGGAAAGTCAATTATTGTTCCCACGAAGAATATAATATTTTTATACGACTCGTATAATATACGAATTAATATGGTTTAGTTATAAACTGGTCGTCGTGGTTAATGCTCAAACTTTGTGCACAACTTTAGTATTTATTATTAAATAAAAGTCCTCGCAAAACATTAGTTATTATACAGTTGATATTCGACTTGATTCTTAAGGGAAACGTTTATACGTAGTATAAACAGGACATAAATTTCAGTCGCATATTGAAAATTATTAACCAACGGTACAATAGCTTTAGGGATCAAAAAATTACCCGCGCGGTAAGCACTATAAACAATAAAGCTAAAGTTTTTAAAACAAAATCGAATAGTTTTATCAGAAGCTTTATAAATCTAGACATTCGGAAACTTTGCAAAATTGTTCTTGTGAAATAATGTTTACTTGATTTTTATTTTCAAAGGATTCTGAAAATGAATTTCCAAAGGTATATTATTATGGATACTAAAATTACGACTGTATGGTATAAATAAAATATATGTATTTACTTATAAATCAAACTCAATCGGGTTCAAGAAAAAACTTTTTTATACGTAATAAAAATATGTATTAGGTTCTTTGACGCGTTTGCTTTTACTTTGATTTTTTTATTGGAGTGTATACTACACTGAATAATTTATGTGTAAAAATAAAATATATAGGCAGGTACTTTACACCACTTTCCAACGTTTCAGTAAAAACTTTAAACGTTCACAGTTGAGTAAATAACTTATGTTTTATTTGACATACCAATATATCAATATTCGAACATGTGCTATATAAACCCTATTTTTTAAATTAATTTAATCAAATGATCTAAATGAGCTTAATGATCATAAAATAAATATCTATGAAATACATTAAACATTCACGGAAATAAGTATTAAACATGATGTATGTACTCGTGTATTCTAGGTCACACCCAGTGGCAGTCAAATTATTTTGTCATGAGGGGAATGTATTTTATTCTTTTAATGAACACTATTCATAAAAATCTGTATTCTTAAACATTAAATTAATTAACAATACATATATTAATACATAATATTAAATCTATTTTTCTGTTTTTTTTTTCCATTTGTCTGCGATTTTATTGAAAACCCCACAATGAACAGCCATAGTGGCTAAGTATTCGTGTAGGTACTAACTAAATTTAGGTTTTGTAACCCTACTGTCTCTTTTTGTGGCAAAGGAACATCTGATTCAGAGGTATCAACATTTAAAACATCTTCTAATTGTTTAACTTTTTTTGAAAAAAATTCAATATGGAGTTATCTTTTCTTTTAGCACTCATAATAAATGTTGTTCATATTATTTGTAGCTAAATGACAAACTATAACAATTATAACGTCTATAACTCGGTGATTTTAACTTTGATACTTTGTGAACATAAGTCAACATTCAAGATAAATCGACTATCTACCTAAATCTATATCGGTATTACTTTATATCTACTTCATATCGATATCTTACTTGTTATCGAATGTTCTCGATTATCGGCGAGGAAATTCCCGTATATTTTGTATAGACAACTGAATAATAATAATAATAGCTTAATTAATAGATATGAGTCTGAATAGTAGGTAATTATAATTATTATAACGTACGCAGTGACACAATGTATACAAATATACTAAATAGTATACTCGTGAAACATAAGGTTTATTGTAAAAATTTACCATAGATAATTATTTACGTTTTTAGAAGAAAAAAATTAAAAAATAAATGGATACCTTATAGGTATCCTTATAGGATATTATAGGTATTAGGTATAATATGCTTGAAATATAAATATTGAAAAAAATGTCATGAGAGATCTATCCCCTTCGCCCGTTTGACCACCACTGATCACACCTAAAACTAAAGTATTGTGTATGATACATAAAACTTTAACACCAAATTCAATGAATGACCGAAAAAGAACAATAGATGCGTTGTTGGAAATACACTTTTGCAAAGAACACTGTACTACATTGAAATTCAAATTGTTCGCTCGAAACGCTTAATTAAAATGGTTAAGACGCATTATGACATTACCTCAATTCAGTCTAAGAGAATATAATAATTATAAATGATAATAACAGAAAGTGCTTTGAAAAATTATTTTTCTTCTATTCCAAATTATTGAAAGATAAATTACAAACAATGGCGAAAAATATAAGTATTATCCTTTTTTGCGAGGAATGAATTAATTGAAAGTACAAATGACTGTAGACAAATATAAAAATTAAATTAAAAACTATATAAAAAAAAAAATAAGATATTTTGTTCGTTTGCATTTCATAACTTTATAAGTCATCACTAAACAAAAATCATTGATTTTAAACTCATATTAGAATATTATGTACCTCAAAAAAATAAAGTGTTTTTTTAAATGCATCTATTAAGGACTTTTTCAGAATTTTTATAATATTTTTTGATTTTTAAAATTTTCGTCTAATAATATTTGTCATTTTTAGAATGACAAACATTTTTACTCAAAATTAACTATTGGAATATATTAATTTATATTACCTACTGTATTAAGACTTAAAAGCAATCAAAAATACATACATAAGTAGGTACTA